CTCTGCAATTATTCAGAACAGGAGAGAAGTTAGCAAATGGTCATCTTGACTGTTGGTACCAACTCATTAGGATTTGAAGACTTTCCTTTAAAAAACTGTTCAAAATAAACGTGACAAAAGCTGGAAAACAAACCTTTCCTGAATATTCCTGGGACTAAAAGAGAAAAGAAAAAATATTAAAAAGAATGGAAAATATCTTTCTGTTTCTAGAAGTTTGTAGAAAATGTTTAACATGGGCTGGATCTTGGAAGGAAGGGAAGCTCTCATCAGCTTCAGTAGAGATTGTAGGATGAGCTCTCCTACATCCTCAGGAAAGGTTATTTCGGCCAACCCCTTCTTGGGACGTGTTGTATCTTCAGCAACCCGAGCTTTGGTGAGATGTACACACCCTTTGCCCTCAGGAACAGGGGCTGCCATTCCAAGAATCTCCTGCCCCAAAGAAGTGCAGTATTGCTTCTGTCATTTTCCAAAAGCACCCATGTTAACACTTGCTGGAATTCAGTTTATTTTTTAAAAAAGTCCTCTATTCTGGGTGCCTGCCTTTGTAAACCTCTTTCTTACTTGGTCACGTGAGAGACGGCGCAGGAGGCTGAACCAATCCTTTCTCTTCGTCTTCACTGCCAAGGGCAGCCCAAGGAAAACTAGTGTCAGCAACAAGCTCAGCCCCTGGACATTTCAACCAAAGAGGCCACGTGAGCCCACAATAGTGGAAGCAGATCTGCAGTTGGGACCGCAACTCCTTTCAAAATACAAGACCATTTGTGTGTGTATGCTCTCCGCCACCTTATCACTTTTTGGCAATGAGCCATGGTGTAACCCCCTTGAGATGACAAAAGAAATAAAAGTTCAGATGTGATCAAAGGACTCATAATGCAGCATGCTAGCATCTGAGTTTGCACAGCAAGCAGGCTTGGCACACCATCATGCTTTTTTAGTCAGTTTCAATGGGTGGTGTGGCCATGAATAGCAAAGGTGAGTAGGGATGTGACGATAAACTCTAAAATCAGTCAGTATAGTACACTTTCATAGCTTCGAGTTCATATTTGGTCACAATTTCATGTAAACTATCTCATGGCACTTTTTGTCCATGCAATTAACAAGCCCAGAGTAAGAAAATAGCAAGAACAATCAATCTCTATCACTATGTCCATATAAATACATATCTTCACATAAGATAAAGAGATACTGATCTATATTTTTTGCAGGCTTCTCACTGGTTTCACATATTGCCCAATTTCAGATGTAAGGAAAGAAAAAATGGATATGTGTACTATTGCAAACAGGAAGAAACAGCTATATGTAAACATATCTCAGACTTGTAAAATCTGCAATCCAATTTTCAACTATAAATATAAAAAGTGGACCATTATATACACACAACTTCATGCTCGGAAGGTTAGATTCATCACTGCAGAAAAACAAACAACAAAAAAGACAAATGTATAGAATTAGTAGTTTAGGATAAAAATTCCAAATTAACATTTATTTTAAGAAAACTGGTAGAACCCTGAATAGAGGTTTTTTTTTTTTTTAAATCAATGAGCCAATTGATATGTCCTATACATTACTTTTCTAAAATTCATCAAAATTTTTATCCTAGGTTCAACCCACATTTTGTTTTGCCACTGAGAAGTCTGTGGGAAGTGTTTGTCTCAGTAACTATTCTGGGAAAGCAGAAAATTAAGATTTTATCACAGATGTGCCATAATTAAAAACATGTCCTATATATGGCTTATGTAATCTTCTCCAAGCATTAAAACACAACTGTGGAAAATGTTGAGGATTCTGACCTCAGTGGCATTGTTTACTTCATCAATGCCCAACTATAACACTCTACTCTCTTTGGGTTCTGGTTTCCCCTTTCCTTTATATGGTCCTGCCCTGCTGTGAAGGGCGTGCAGGGCAGACCTCTCTGCTCTCAGGTCTTAAAGCTGTGTTATAGGTTCTATTGTGATCTAAGGATCTGGAAATGTCTGGCTCCTTGTTTTGAGCAGCCAAAACTACTAAGGTTTTCCTAGAACTGAAGTTAAGTCTGAGAGAACAGAGGAACAACTGTCTCTGAGGTATAACTTATAGAGCAGATGTTGGCGACAATCTTCACTTTTACTCAAAGAAAAATCAGTGAGAAAAGTAGAATGTCCAGAGAAGGAGAATGATAAAGATCTCTTCATCTCCCACCACAATGGTGACTCGTCCTCAGAGTCATATTTCAGTTCAATAATTAAAAATATTTGCTTTTCTGTCTCCAGTAAAAATAGGTGCTATATTAAGTGTGCTTAAGAGGCTGGGTACTTTCTGATCTTTAGAAATGAAGTTCACTCAATGTTACACGCGTCATGCCAAGGCCAGAGAATGTGTCTATAGGAAATATTCCTTTCTCCAAACTCCCACTTATCTCAAATTTCAAACAGATGCATTTTTTTGAGAAACCAATGTTTTGTAAATAATCTCCAGAATTTTAAAGATTCTTTTTTTCCCACAGATTTTAAAACTTAATTTAAAAAACCTGTCACCTTACTTTAGGAAGATTCTGTTGCAAACCTGTCAGCCCTATCTGGAAAAATGAAATTTCATGAAACATTAAAAAATATGAAGGCCATATGTATTTTTCCTATTAAACAGCTTTTAATCTCTGGATAAGGACAGATGATAACTTTAATAACTTGTAAGTATTTTCTTAACCATAAATTCTGCCATTTACTCACTGTACAAATTACACTGTGAATTAGTATATCATTATTCTTCAAAATTTAGAAAACTGAACTATATCTAGAAAGAAAAGTAATTTAAACAAAGATCAAATAGTTTTACATGAAAAAACTATTATTGAGAGCAGTATGACTAACAGGACTTGTTCACAGTGATTTCTACTGTGGCTACAATCTGAATTTTCAGTCAAACATTTACCACTGCGCTCTAGAGACTACTAAACGTAATGTTTAAAAAAGTGGTCCACTAAAACAGGACTCAGTAATCTACTGGCTTGCTTTTAAAAATATCATTTAAAAATTAATTTGATTTGACCAACAATGTATTTGAGATAGCTAAGTTGACCACATAAGAGATTATATTCAATAGAACATTTCATTTTTCTAATTGTTTCTTTCTTCTTTTTTGCAGGGAGGGGGTGTTGGGGGAGGATAATCACTACTGTTTGCATTTGATTGTGTTGGGGAGTGTGGTAAGCGATACTGAAGCTTTATCATTGAGTTATGATTCTTTTTTTTTAACAATTTAAAAAAATTTTATTGAAGTATAGTTGATTTACAACGTTGTGCATTAGTTTTTATTATAAAAAGAGGCTGGATTTAAGACAGCCTTAATCTTATGTAGAGCATAGTGTATATTCTGCGGAAAAATAAGTACTTAAAAGGGAAATTTCTGATTTTCTGAGCTACTCATATTAACTCATATTACTAGGTTTGGCCATTTTATGAACCAAAAAGATGATGAATCCTTTGCTTGCTGCCCTTATTTTTATGCCTTCACAAAAAAGGAAGTGATTTAGAAGCGGCCGAAAGTGATGTGAACCCAAGTGCTGAGTAGTGTCAGAGGGTGGATAAAGCAAGCCTTTCACATCTCTCTCCATGTAAAGCGTGCCAATGACTGGATTAAAAAATCATTATAGTATTAGATTACAGGGCAAAGGTTAAAGAGCAAATGGTAATTCCAATTCAAGAAGGTATTAAAAATTCTGAGAACAGGGGTTATGACGGTAAGAGGATAGTTTTCTCAGGTGAAGAATATGATGATAGCCTCATCTTCCCAAGAACCACTTGACCTCAGTTGTGATGGAGCTAATGATCTGACAGGCTGAAAGTGGAGTACGGGAAGCTACTAAATAAATGACGCTACTGGGAGAGAAGGATTTTCTTTCCCTCACCAAGTGGGATGAAAGTACTTTAAGCAAGAGAGTGAGTTTCACAGGATCTCCTCACAAACGGAGTTGATGAGATGAGAGGAAAATAAGCCTCTCCTCATCTTTTTGCAATCCTACATAGTTTTGCTGTAGGTTTGCCAACGAAGCAAAGTCTATCAAAAATGACCAAAGACGCCACAGGGGTTAGAGAAAAAAATTTCAAAATGATGAAAGAGTATGTATACTTCCCTCTGGCTCATTTTCACATCAGTAGAATTCCTTTAACCTTAGGTAGCATATGCACAGTCCTTTATAATTAGGCGCGCACCATTACTGTGTAAAGGTTGGGTATTCTCTGAAAGGCACAGCACATACAGATCTCTTCCCTCAAAGTTCTGCCATTGCTTTCCATTGTCTACTTCTAGTTCTGTTACATACTAGCTCTGTGTCCTTGGAAGTTACTTAACTTCTCTGAATTTTACTTTCCTCACTGGCATCATTCACGATAACAATACACTATAGGGTTATTACGAGGATTAAATAAAGTGATGTCGCCTATATGAAAGGGCTTATCACACAGCCTTTGTACAAGAAGGTTCTCTATGAAGAATAATTTCCCTTCTCTGCTGAATACATACACAGTGACTATGGGTGGCCACATGTAGAGGCTAGAGCAAACTGATATCATCAAGGACACCAACGTAAATATAACCAGATTCTCCTAAATAAATCAAGACATCATCGAAGAAAAGAAAATTATGCTTACATTTTCTGCTTTCTCAGCTTTGTGACTAATATTGACAGGGTTCTACCATGTATTTGCATATTTGCCTAAGTAACTGAGTATAAACAGAAAAAGAATCACAATTAAGAATAATTTTAAACAGTAGGAGGAAAAGGAGTTTGAGACAAGCAAACCATTGTCAAGATGCACTGCCCCTTTCCATTCTGAAGAAAAGATTAAATAGGGAAGGTTCCAAATTACAGTGTTTGCCAGGAATTATTTTTACTCATCACTTTAGGAAGAAATCAGCAGCAAACACCATTAAAAGATATTCTAGAGATGGGATCTTTTGCTTTTTGATACCCAAACACCTTTCAGCAATGTCAAATTCAAAAAATCTGTTCTAAATGGAAAAGGCTAGGCCGGGTGAAGAGAAAGGGACAGTGCTTCTTTTAGAAATAATTCTGTAAAGCCTACCTTTTGCCAACAGCCAGGCATGGGTAATCCATCTGGCCCCTATTTTAAAAAGAAGAATGAGAATTCCTCAGGTTCCACGAAAGTGATCATACTTCATGATTAATAAGCACAGAGGCTTAAAAATGAATATCTACCTGTTAGGTGGCTTTAGTCATAGGCATCTTTTACTAATAATCAACTCTCAAGATATTACCCAACAACAGTTAAAAGGAAGAAAATTCGAATGTTTTCCAAAGTGAGTACACATTTTTCAAATAAATAAAATATAGAAAGATTTATACTTAACTTTGGATAATAATTTGTAAAACCTAGTGGTCTACTCAGTTATATCTTTAGATAATAAATCTGTACTATTTCTCTTAATTTCGTTAAAATGCATTCTATAATTATCTTTATTCAATAAATGGAAATAACTTCTCTTCCTGGTCACTATGTTCTATGGTTGAATGCATGATAATGATGAGTAATCAGTGATGAACCATTTCTATCTGAAGTTTATAGCTCTTCCTATGCAGCATCTTTCAACTTTTCTATATTGAAAGCAGACAAAGTAAAACATTAAATTGATTGAATTAAAAGAGAGGCAGCCAGTCTATATCTTTATAGTAAAATGTTATCCACAGCCTTTCCCAAATTTTAAATTAAAATTCTTCAGAAGCCAATTAACAAATCCTTAATAAACAAGGGATTCTTGAATGTCGCAAAATTTATTTTCACTTAAAGGGTAAGCACTCTTCAGATACAAATGATATAAATAAGGTAGGACGAGTTGGTATATTATGAAGCATGCTTGTGTTTTCCCCCAACAAAATGACTGTAAAATATTATTTATTGTCAATACCGAGCAAACAAAATAAAAGACTGGGCATATCATATTGACATTTTCTAACTGTAATTATTCTACAATACAATCTCTTAAAAGACTTGAGAAACAAATTTATCTTTAAAGAATCATGCTTAGTATTTAAGAATAATATAAGAACATGCAGACCAAGTATAACCATCAACACAGTCATAAAAAGTTTTCCTTTACACCTCAGAAAATTTGCATACACTTTCTTTTTAAATGTAAAAAAAAAAAAACAAAAAAAACCTTGAAATAACTTTATATTTGGGAAAAAAATCGGTAATGCCAGATTGGTACAAGGAGAAGGGTCACCCGGTAGAATTTTAGATTTTAGTATAAGGGTTTTGACATGCCAGTGGAGGTAGGGGAGATCTGTCTACTTCAGGAAAAGTGAGTTTCAAAAGGAGGGACCATTAAACTGAAAAGGTTATGTGACAAAGAAGAGGGTTTGGGCTGCAGACTATTATCTTTAGAAGCTCAGAGAAGTTTGGTTTTCTCCCCTACGGTCTCTTCCTTTGAATTGGTTAAGTCTTGACCACAGAAGCTCAACTATGTAGGTCTGGTCTTATTTACAGCCTGACAGAAATTTAGTGAAAGAGGCAAAGATGCCTTTATTTCTTTTAAGGAAAAAAAAAAAAGAGATAACTTTAGGGGTAAACCCCAAAATTATAGCCTAGTTGTACCTTTACATAGAAGATTTTAATGCACTTTTAATGTCATCTTGAAATGTTTATTAGATAAATTGACATTCCCCAGAACACAGACGTGGCAGCCGTGTCAGTTGTGAGAAAATGTCAGGAGATTAATTTGCAGTCACTGATTGAAATGCGTGCATGCTCTTTTCACTCTGCAGTCACTGAAGGAGCTATTCATGCACATGCATGTAGTGTGTTTATCATGTAAAGCTTGCTCCAGAAGTACCACTTTACACTGAGAGAGATGAATATGTAATAAACAAAGGAATTGCATGCAGGGTGGTAGGAAAGAGAAATACTGTACCAATTGGCAAGGGGCATCCAGCCCATCCAGGCCAGGCTGGCCTGGCTCCCCTTTTTCCCCCTTAACGCCACGGAATCCCTGTTTGTAAAGATTAACTCATAATGTTACTAAACAGAAGAAATCACTTAAGCACAATTTCTGCTAATGAAATAACCACAATAACAAAAGGCTGGGAGAGGAGCAACTCTGAAGGGAAAAGTAACATCCAGTGATGCTGGACAAAACAAAACAGAGCTTGATGTGGTCCTACAACTAGCGCTTGCCTGGGAACAGGGACCTGCTCTCTGGAGCAGGACTGAGGAGCACGGGTTCCTCCTCCGATCCCGCATTCATGCCCCGGATGCACATCAACACTTGAGTGTTGAGAAACCAGGCATAGCTGGTGGCCAGAGACAAGGGGTGGAACACATTGACAACCTGATATCTATTTTTCTGGGGCCTTAAAGTCTACGTTAAAAGACGCCAATCAGACCCCCCTCTGGTGCGGTCCCTCCAGTTTGCTCCTCTCCCAGCTTCGCCTCCGCATGTGACATCTGGAGACGGTTGCATGAGTCAGACATACCAACGGGCAGGGTGCATCTAATCCAGGAGCACCCTGTTCTCCTTTCTCCCCTTTAGGCCCCTTTTTGCCTTTCTTTCCCTTTTCCCCCTGTGGATACAAGGGTTTAAATAAGACAGGTTTTATTTTGGGGGGGCGGGGGGAAGTAACGGTGATTCAAAAGATGGTTTAGCCAATAAAAGTCTGGAAAGGCATTTACCACTGTTTTCTGGTTTAGGTAAGGCATGATATGAAAAATAACAGACTTCCAGAGTGGCAATGGATTCTGGGCAGTGATATACAGGATTTTATTAAAACGATTCAACAAGATGAAAGAACTTGAAGGGTGACACATCAGAAAGGAGGATCAGTGCTGACTTAGACCCCAGTGCCGTGGTCCTTGTGAATGAGGTGTTCCCGCCACCGCTTTGGTGAAGATGACAGATACCAACTGTATTGAATCCAGCCAGTGGCAGTGAAGTTCAGAGGAATAATGGAGACTTCACCCAATTTTCAGTACCTGCCAACTTGCTTTTTTTCTAATCCTATAACAGATGAAAGCTACATTGAGCCAGAGGAAAAGGAAAAAATCCTGGCAGCTTCTATCTTTTTGAAATGAATCCAACTTTCTGACATTATTTTTTGTAGTTAGTTCTCATTTAAACATATTCAGTGTGTTAAAAATATACTCTTTCTTTTAACATTCTTTTAAAGGAAACTAAAAGCAAATACTTTCCTTAGTAAGTCAGATAAACAAATTTTAAAAGTGCTAAGATTTCTCAGCAATGCCACTTGGAGAAACAGACTTGTTTATAAACTCAAAGATATTCTTTAATTCACTGTTATTGGTCTCATGCCAGGTGTTCACAATGGTAAATGGGTTTCCAGCTTGCTCACAAGGTAACAAAAGCCAAAAAACAAAAAAAAAATATTCTGTTCAAGAGAGGAAAAGCAGTTTGGATTCAGTTGAGCTAATGCTAAAAATGAGGTAGGCAGGATAATTACATGGTGGGAATGTAGCCATGGAAATTAGTATTTAGGAATCAAGGTAAAGGTTGTGGAAAACTGCATGGATCATAGGGATGGAGGAATTAAGGAAAGGAGGCAAAAGGAGAAGTAAGGAATGCACGTCAGCTGTTTCACATTAACAAATACCTGCATATTTATAGACAAGAAGCTGGCGCAGTACAGAATACAAAATACTATGCAATACATATTTAAATTCGTGTATTCATTCTGCAATCAGGATGGCAGATACAATAAGTCTGAATAATTTCAGAAGCGAAACAACATGAATATTCAAAGACATATACATAACAGATATAGATGAGATGCACTCAAATTAATGCATCCTTTCTGTGTGAGTGAAAGCTCCACATTTATCTCCTGTGTGCCAAAAACATTGCATCAGAAGGCTCAGAATCAAAGCCATTTGGGTTTCTCTAATATCGGGGAAAGAGAGAACTTCTGTGTGGTTTAGTTGATCATGATCAAAAACAACGACCCGAGATGCCAGGGTGAAATGAAATGAGAGCAGGTGTGATAAGAAGTAAGATGGGAGGAGCTTTCGGGAGTAAATTGATCACTCGTGCAAGATGAATCGACATTCTTCCTCAGCAAGTAACATCATTGCCGTGACGTAAAATTGATTTAAACTTCATTGGGAGGGAGTGGACTCTTCTTTACATAGGTGTGACTGACACCAGATGTCTTGGGTATTATTAATTTTGGACTCAATTCATTTTTTGATTGGTTAATCAACTCAGAATAATCACTCAATGGAAAGTGTTGTCATATGAATGTTGACTTTAACAGGCTCTGGGAATCGTTTTTCAGTAATATTCTAGTGAACCTCAAGCTTTATGGAAAATAGACACTATTTTACAGAGGATAATGTGTCAGTGTTATTATTAATCAGCATAGTTTTGTAACTATCTGTCTTTGTGGGTATGATCACATAAGGGCTCTTGCTAATTTTTGTCTCCCATGTCAAAGAATGATATACAAAAAGTATTTACGGGCTTCCCTGGTGGCGCAGTGGTTCAGAGTCCGCCTGCCGATGCAGGGCTAGCAGGTTCGCGCCCCGGTCCGGGAAGATCCCACATGACGCGGAGCGGCTGGGCTCGTGAGCCATGGCCACTGAGCCTGCGCGTCCGGAGCTTGTGCTCCGCAACAGGAGAGGCCACAACAGTGGGAGGCCCGCGTACCGCAAAAAAAAAAAAAAAAAAAAAGTATTCACATTTGTATCTAATTTCCCTAAATATAAAACTTCTAATTATGGAGTCTGAAATATGGAAATATTTTTGTATGGGTGATTAACATTATTCTGAGGATTAAATTTGTAGCTTTAGGTTTTCATAAGTTATAATACCAGTAATTTCTTCTTTGTTTAAAAGATCATTAGAATGAATCTCTTCATAATGGTGACATACTTTTGAGTGAATAAGGTTTTTGACTCATACAATCCATTCGGTAAATATAAAATAAATGCCTATAACCTTGAAAGCACACAGAGACACCTTGGGCTAAAAGACTGCATGTACAATTTATCTCAAAACATGTATATTTTATAGTTAGAATTTACAATTCAGAATAAAAGAACTTTTTTTAATGCCTCAGTTTTCTTGTCTATGAAATGGGGACAATAATAGCACCAAACTTAGGGTGTTGTTATGAGGATTAAAAGCCTTCTCTTATGTAAGGCTCTTGGAAAAACATAATAAGTGTTCAATAAATGTGACGATATTGACGATGATGATGGTGGTCCTTTCATATAACCACTCACATGAGCCTTCCTAGCAATGGGAAGCTAAGTAATGTTTAATGTCCAAAGAACACACAGCAGTCTTAATATCCTTTTTTTTTTTTTTTTGGCAACTCTCATTTGGCCTTGCTTTTCAACAGCTATGAACTTCACTGTTAAAGAGAATTTATAGGGTTTTGAAAATAGTGTGGTAAGTACAGTAGGACATAAATTAATCTGAGAAATAGAATTGGTTTAAATCTGAATTATGAAGGTACCATTTCAGCCACTTTAAGATTTTCATTATTCTATTGAGGTGCTGAGATTTAAAAATTTTTTTTCCCTTTTTCAGCTGTGTCCAATATAAAAAAACCTATTGTTTAAAGAAGAAAAAAGTGGTTTAAAAAAATCCATGATCCACATTTTGCTTCCAGACATAAAACCATTTTGCTTGATATTGGGTCCTTATCCCCTGGAGCTGACGGTCTTGAGACAGGGCCTAAACATCAATCTCATAAAATACACCAATATCTTCACTTAAAAATATCTACAGTGGGCTTCCCTGGTGGCGCAGTGGTTGAGAGTCCACCTGCCGATGCAGGGGACACGGGTTCGTGCCCCGGTCCGGGAAGATCCCACATGCCGCAGAGCGGCTGGGCCCCGTGAGCCCTGGCCGCTGAGCCTGCGCGTCTGGAGCCTGTGCTCCGCAACGGGAGAGGCCACAACAGTGAAAGGCCTGCGTACCGCAAAAAAAAAGAAAAGAAAAGAATATATCTACGGTGTCCGAAGGCAACAGGTCCTGGTCCCTGTGTAATGGACTCACTGGGTTTATCGGGCATCCTGCTTGCCTTCCACTTTCCAATCAAAAAAAAAAAAAAAAAAATCAAGATACAGGACATATCTTCTGTCTCTACTGGGAATGTTGTAAAGATGAATGAGATGCTGAATTTACAGGGTTAGCTGAGCTCTGCCAGAAGACTGTTGCAGATTTGTGCTATTTAATTTTACTTAATGTCATAAATGCCTCCCCCACCCCCATTTTCAAAAACCCCTGAAAACTTCAGCTTTCAATTAATTGGTGTCAGGTAGTCCAAAGATTGTAGCCCAGATATCTGGGGATTTTAATTCTTTTCTTCTGTGCTAACAGTGCCCTTATTTCTTGCAGTGTAGCCTTCTTTATTTCTCTGTGAAGATCTGGTTCCTCAGATCAGACATCAGAGTGTTTTTGGAGCACAGGATGGAGAAAGATTAGACGTATGAAAGAATCACACAGGTTGAACAGCAAAGCAGACAGAAGCAGAAAAATCAAACAGGCACATGCTAGGCTGGAGAGGTCACCTTTTCCCCCTTTTCTCCTAGATCACCCTTCTCGCCTCGTGGACCAGGGAAACCCTATAGGATAAAAAGCAAACCAAAAAGATCTATTGGTATAACTGTGGCAACACCGTATTGAAAAAAACCTTAAGAATTCATGTTTCTGAACGCAAATATAAAGAAACATGGCATGCCCTCAAGTCTCAAAACTTAGATGGGTAAAGTGGCACTTAGAAATAACAGTTTCCTAACATCTCAAGTATCTGTAAACAAAAGGTTTCTTGCTTTTTCTCCAAAGAAATGTATAGTGGAGAGAATATTGGGATCCTAGTTTGAATCCTGGCAAGTTCTCTGATTTGTGGGACTGCAGGCAAACATACTTCACCATTTTAGTCCTTTGACCATAAAACGAGGTTAATACCTATTAATACTACACATCTGCTGGTGTGAGCATTAAATGTGATGATATATATAAAGTACCAGAATGATGTCTGCATACAAATGGTGCCCAATAAAGAGTAACTACTATTACTTTTTGCTACTGCTATTATTCACATAAATACAGGATGAGCAGTAATCATTTTAGGAGGGATTGACTTTTGACATTCTCTATTTTTATAGAATTATGTTACTATAAGATATATAGAGACTTTATGCTAAAAAGAAAAATACTGCATAATAGCTTTGAGAATAAACATACCATTCCCTAAGGGTAGCATGTGAAAGATATTTCGATTTTATGCATATTTTAAAATAAGTAATTTAACCACTCATGTTGAGTGTCTAATTTGGGAAAGTATTTTGAAGTGCCTATATCAACTGTCAGTTATTAATTTCATACTAGATAATTATGCTTTTTGCTTTTATGTCTATCTCATGCCAACCCTAGTGGTTTATTTCATATTGCTACCTACACACACAGCAATATATGCTGTACACATAACTATGTGCACAGAAAAAAATTAGAAGTACTCTTGCTGTTATTGATGATGGAGACCATCAGCATCTATTATAATGGGAAGATGTTTATTGTAGGTATTACTTACATCAAGACCAGGCTCTCCATCTTTCCCCTGCCAAAGAATCATAGTAGCTACATTAGTGTTCCTAAGTTTCACAAATAGGTTATTATTCTATTTAAGGCTGCCTGGACATGCAACACTAGTATAAAAACAATTAATTCAGAAATGTGAAAAAGATTCTCTATTGATTAGTAAATCAAGTGAAGTGACGGTTAATGTTGCAGGTAAGTGTCATGAAAATGTTTTTATTCTATATCAGGTTAAATAGTCCGCTTGGTATTCAAGTTATCAATCTTAAGAGTAAGTCAAAAGCAAAAATACTGTTTAGTTGATTTAAAAACACACCAGCACTAACAGAATAAGCAAATCTACGCTACTTTAGTTTGACAACTTAGTAGTTAGCTCATAAGTGTGTAAAGAATGTGAAAACTGTTTATTGTTAAATACAATTTTAATTTGGCTAGATGTACACCTTGTCTATAAATATTGCAGGTGTGAAGATCACAGCTTAAAAACTGTTTGTAAATTAATGACCCCCTATTATAGAAGGAATATAATACTGCTGTGCAAGGATGATCCACTGAGCCCCGTGGAGCAGATTTTCAGGGCATTGAAAATCACACAACAAATCCACCCAAAAGTTGCTGAGAAGTTGCTTTGATTCCACCAGTTAGATTTCGAAATCTATTTCAAAATCAACATCTCTTTTAGCACTCAAGTAATCATGGTTTGAGCTTATTATTTCAATTCATAAAAACTAGAAAGTACAAGGTACGTGGAAAATACATAGGGGTTAAAAACCTTGAGACAACAGTATATGCTTCTACTGTAGTCCTACCCTACCCCATCAAATCATTTACAATTATCCCAAAGATAATATTCTGAAGCGAACCCGAGGCCCTCAATTTGAAGTGGGTGTAATTGAGAATTTTCAGAAGATAGAACACTATCAACCTTCTCTGTTCTGAAGATCACTTGTCATTACGGTAATTTAGAAAGGTCAGAAACATCAAAGTCATCAGAAACATCAATCTGAGAAATATCTTTTATTAGCAAAAGCAGTTTTTGTAAGTGATATATGAGAACAGATAAAGTCTGATGAGAGTTTTTAAAATTAAGCTTCCACACCCACTTCTGGTACAATGACCTCCCAAAGAAGGGCCAATTATGGGTCTGGTCAGATGGCCCAGGGAGGGGTTATCTGACAGTCAAAAGCCCCCTTTCAGGTTAGCACTGTCCATCTCATGGACAACCTCTGATCCTCTCAATCTGGTGAAGTGTGTGGGTGTCTGTATGTGAGTGTGAGAATACGACACAAATATGACCTATCTCAGAAGTACACAGTTACACTGGTGTTGAAGAGAATTAGTGGATTGTTCTTTGCTCCTCTAATGGGATTAGTCTCCCCACGAGGGGAGGGTTAACCACGCCAGGGACATCTATACATGCTGAAGGGAAACGCCATCGCGAGACAAGAGAACTCACGGGAAGACCATACGGTCCTCGGGGTCCCGGCTCTCCCATAGCTCCTTTTTCACCCTATAATGAAAGGTGAAAGTGCAAATCATAAACAAACACCTACATTCACACACTTTCCCTGATGGCCTGTGGCTAAAGCCTCTATTTGAAGTATCATTCTATCAAAATTCCAAAGAGTCAGGCTGTTTCGGGGCCGCTGCCAGTGATACAGCAAAAGAAATCCATGTTAGCATATTTTACAGGATCACCTTTGAAAGAAGGACTGTCTGCCCAGCGGTACAAAAGGACTTGCATATGTAGGGTGTGGTGCTTGGGTTTCTTTGGCCTTACTGTGAAATGTTTATTTGTTACTAATTATTTTAAGTTACTACTTTTTCAAAAATGTAATAAGAAAATTCTTTTTCCCCCAAATGTCTCTTCAGCAAGCCCAAATGTCTCTTCAGCAAGCCCTTCCTCCTTGACTGCCCCTGCCCTTAACTGAGCTGTATTTTGCTTCACGGTGCTCATACACCAGGAGACATACCCACGTTATAACTTGTCTATTCTCTGCTGAGCCCCTCACTAGAATCTGCACATTAGGGTGCCAGGGCCCTGGCTTTTTTCCCTACTGCATGCCCACAGCTTATAATAGTGTCCGGCACATCAGTAAATATTTGCAGAATTCATGAATCAAGTCAAATCAATACAATCATGTATGTTTTGCTTCCTTTCGGAAAAAGAGGGTTTAAAAACTTGTATGCTTTCTACTCAGTGCCTGATAAGGTAGGAATTCACTACCTCATCACTCTCTCTCCATGTACCTATTTAAGTAGCAGAGCTTGTCTCAGCTTAAACGATAATCTTTTTTTTAACTTATTTTATTATACAGCATGTTCTTATTAGTTATCTACTTTATACATATCAGTGTATATATGTCAATCCCAATTGCCCAATTCATCACACCACCACCACCACCCCCGCCACTGTGAACAGTATATGCTTCTACTGTAGTCCTACCCTACCCCATCAAATCATTTACAATTATCCCAAAGATAATATTCTGAAGCGAACCCGAGGCCCTCAATTTGAAGTGGGTGTAATTGAGAATTTTCAGAAGATAGAACACTATCAACCTTCTCTGTTCTGAAGATCACTTGTCATTACGGTAATTTAGAAAGGTCAGAAACATCAAAGTCATCAGAAACATCAATCTGAGAAATATCTTTTATTAGCAAAAGCAGTTTTTGTAAGTGATATATGAGAACAGATAAAGTCTGATGAGAGTTTTTAAAATTAAGCTTCCACACCCACTTCTGGTACAATGACCTCCCAAAGAAGGGCCAATTATGGGTCTGGTCAGATGGCCCAGGGAGGGGTTATCTGACAGTCAAAAGCCCCCTTTCAGGTTAGCACTGTCCATCTCATGGACAACCTCTGATCCTCTCAATCTGGTGAAGTGTGTGGGTGTCTGTATGTGAGTGTGAGAATACGACACAAATATGACCTATCTCAGAAGTACACAGTTACACTGGTGTTGAAGAGAATTAGTGGATTGTTCTTTGCTCCTCTAATGGGATTAGTCTCCCCACGAGGGGAGGGTTAACCACGCCAGGGACATCTATACATGCTGAAGGGAAACGCCATCGCGAGACAAGAGAACTCACGGGAAGACCATACGGTCCTCGGGGTCCCGGCTCTCCCATAGCTCCTTTTTCACCCTATAATGAAAGGTGAAAGTGCAAATCATAAACAAACACCTACATTCACACACTTTCCCTGATGGCCTGTGGCTAAAGCCTCTATTTGAAGTATCATTCTATCAAAATTCCAAAGAGTCAGGCTGTTTCGGGGCCGCTGCCAGTGATACAGCAAAAGAAATCCATGTTAGCATATTTTACAGGATCACCTTTGAAAGAAGGACTGTCTGCCCAGCGGTACAAAAGGACTTGCATATGTAGGGTGTGGTGCTTGGGTTTCTTTGGCCTTACTGTGAAATGTTTATTTGTTACTAATTATTTTAAGTTACTACTTTTTCAAAAATGTAATAAGAAAATTCTTTTTCCCCCAAATGTCTCTTCAGCAAGCCCAAATGTCTCTTCAGCAAGCCCTTCCTCCTTGACTGCCCCTGCCCTTAACTGAGCTGTATTTTGCTTCACGGTGCTCATACACCAGGAGACATACCCACGTTATAACTTGTCTATTCTCTGCTGAGCCCCTCACTAGAATCTGCACATTAGGGTGCCAGGGCCCTGGCTTTTTTCCCTACTGCATGCCCACAGCTTATAATAGTGTCCGGCACATCAGTAAATATTTGCAGAATTCATGAATCAAGTCAAATCAATACAATCATGTATGTTTTGCTTCCTTTCGGAAAAAGAGGGTTTAAAAACTTGTATGCTTTCTACTCAGTGCCTGATAAGGTAGGAATTCACTACCTCATCACTCTCTCTCCATGTACCTATTTAAGTAGCAGAGCTTGTCTCAGCTTAAACGATAATCTTTTTTTTAACTTATTTTATTATACAGCATGTTCTTATTAGTTATCTACTTTATACATATCAGTGTATATATGTCAATCCCAATTGCCCAATTCATCACACCACCACCACCACCCCCGCCACTGTGCCCCCTTGGTGTCCATACGTTTGTTCTCTACATCTGTGTCTCTATTTCTGCCCTGCAAACTGGTTCATCTGTACCATTTTTCTAGGTTCCACATATATGCGTTAATATAGGATATTTGTTTTTCTCTTTCTGACTTACTTCACTCTGTATGACAGTCTCTAGATCCATCCATGTCTCTACAAATGACCCAATTTCGTTCCTTTTTATGGCTGAGTAATATTCCATGGTATATATGTACCACATCTTCTTTATCCATTCATCTGTCGATGGGCATTTAGGTTCCTTCCATGACCTGGCTATTGTAAATAGTGCTGCAATGAACATTGGGGTGCATGTGTCTTTTTGAACTATGGTTTTCTCTGGGTATATGCCCAGTAGCAGGATTGCTGGATCATATGGTAATTCTATTTTTAGTTTTTTAAGGAACCTCCATACTGTTCTCCATAGTGGCTGGCTGTATCAATTTACATTCCCACCAACAGTGCAAGAGGGTTCGCTTTTCTCCACACTCTCTCCAGCATTTGTTGTTTGTAGATTTTCTGACGATGCCCATTCTAACTGATGTGAGGTGATACCTCACTGTAGTTTTGATTTGCATTTCTCTAGTAATTAGTGATGTTGAGCAGCTTTTCATGTGCTTCTTGGCCATCTGTATGTCTTCTTTAGAGAAATGTCTATTTACGTCTTCTGCCCATTTTTGGATTGGGTTGTTTGTTTTTTTAATATTGAGCTGCGTGAGCTGTTTATATATTTTGGAGATTAATCCTTTGTTGGTTGATTTGTTGAACGATCATCTTGAATGCTCATCAAAAATAAGTGTAATTGGAGGTGGCCCCAGGAATATGAAATTGTGATAATAAAAAAAGAGATGTCTGCGTTTCAAGTAGTGTTTTCTTCTGCTGCCATCTCCAAAATTAAACTGTCAGTATTTAATATGGAAACTTCAGAAGAATGATGATGTCTACGTGAGGGGCCAAAAGAAAATGTTACCTTCTTTTATCACACCCCTAAAGAAGATTAATGGTAGCAAATCTCTTCCAGGGGTAAAATGTCAAGTTCAGCTGATAACTGTGCATATGCAGATCCAAGTATTATTCTATGTTTCTCTACACTCCAAGTTCCCATGTGAGCAAATTTCAAGTTACTGTCAACATTCTTCTTTAACTTAAACTTAGGGGTTGTTGGTGCTAATTAGCACCGTCACTTAGAGGCACATATAGTATAGGGAGATTTGGGGGAATAAATATGATTAAAGCTTATTGCACTTTTACTCATTATTACTTTACGTTTATTACTGAAAGAGCAGGAATTGCATTCAGTAAAGTGGCCAGGCTTTGAAATGAAACAGATTTAAATTTGAATTCCAGTTCTGGCACTGACTGGTTGTGTGGCCTTGGGTAACTTTCTTAACCTTTCTGTGCCTGTGTTTCATTGGCTGTAAAATAAGAAGAGTAATACATATTCTGCAAGAATTTTTCTGAAGATTAAGTGTGATTATAAAACATGAACTTATATGTTGCCAAATAACATGTCCATAAAAAGAAGCTCTCATTATTATCGTACAGTTAGAGGTCTTGTTTTTAATGAAAAGGGCTTGGCCACCCAAAGAGCACTAATTCAAAATAAAGTTCTTTCAGTTTGATCTGTCTGTGTTATTTATGATTTTTTAAGTGGTGGTGGTGCTGTTGGTAATGCTGTGCGTGTGTGCATGTGTAAATGGGAGGTGGGGATTTAGAAGGAAGGTTCATGTAACCTGGAGTTGGTCTAATTCGTAAAAACTCAATGGATTAGAGGAGCTGTGGTTTGAAATATCTCCACAGATTATTTCGATATACCTACTCCCTTCTTCCTCCTCTGACTGAGTACTTCAGCTTTATTTTGTTTTGAAAATGAATATACCGTGGCTGATTTGAATTCAGCTGTCACGAAAGCCGCGGAGATCGTCTTGCAGAATTGCTCACCCCAAATACTTACTTTAAGCTAATAATGACAATTCCATCTCACTCCCAGTGGCTGCTTCAGAAGGGGACATATGACCCAATCCTGGTCAATGAAGTATAAGGGGAAGTGGCTGGGAAGCTTTGGGGACAGTTTCTTCACAGCTAAGGAGGATACAGGAGAAGACAGTCCCTATGTTTGCTCTCTGCCGATGCCTCGCCAGAGGCGGGGTCTGGAACCGCTGCAACCAGCTTGCCTGTGGTCAGAAGACAAAGCCGGCTCTTGGAAAGGGCACAGAAGCAAAGCCTAGGGTTCCTCCTTTGACTATTGTGCCACACAGAACTATAAATTTCTTTATTGTTTAAGCCATTTTGAGTTGGGGTTCAGTCACTTGGAGCCAAAAGCAGCTTAATGGTTTCAGCTTGAAAACTTTTAGGAATGAAATATTACCACAGGGCCTTGAACGTGCAACTTCTTTTCCGGGATTAATTCATTCCAAAAGAACTTTGAACCTCTCACATTTAACACACTCTATGGAGTTCCTTAGTGGTTACAAGGCCAAGATGAAGAAATCGGCTGAAGGTTAGGACGATAGGTGCTCTGAAGAGCCGACTACTAATGCTGCCAGTCACGTATTTGACAATTCTTGAATAACACTGTCTGTCAAATGCCTGGTTTCTTTTAGGCTGGTCTCATTTCATTCAGGATCTTTAATTTGCATGTCTACACTGAGGAATTATTCTAGAATGAACCCCTTTCTTGATTCCTGCCTCTTTAAAATTTGAAACTTTTTCAAGAGAGTCCAGATGGCACCTCCATCAATTAACTTTGAGAATCACACTCCAGTTTAGCACTTAGGGAGAGGGGCACTTGGAGACAGGACTGATATCTGATCCAGTTAAGACAGTTAGCATGCTGAGTAAATACAAGTGTAACACTTTACACTGCACACCATTTGACTTAAACTATGCCTTCACAAATTCTTAGCCATTTCATTTGCTCTCCTGGTGAATTCTACCCCAGCGCTGAGACCTGATACTCCTATGACACTGTGGAGCTCTCGGAAGTAACAGCTGATTTACCAAACGGTAAACCCTCTTGAGTTCCAGGGCCTTCTGCCACTAGACTACTTGAGATTTGCTGCTCCATTTTTAGTTCATGTACTGGATTTCTTGATACAATGCTTGAATGCACCAGCAGCCTGAGGCTCTTAGCTTTTAAATCTTTTTAATTAAGATGATCTTCGTAAGTCTTTTGTTTGACCTTAGAAATAAATTCAGATGACTTATTTCCTTTAGGACTCACCTCCTCCTGGAAGGATTCTTGGGTAAAGCCAGCCTTCCTCATTGCTGAATGCACAGCATGTACTATGTGTATTCACTAAGGCCTCGTTATCTAGTTATTCCTTGCAGATATTTTTTTCTTCTGCAATTAGATTGTAAACTCTTCTAGATCATGGAAAATAGCTGCTTCCTTCACAGTACTAAGTATATACGGTGTACTAATAAAAGGTTATAGGATGATGAATCAATTATCATTACGCAATTCATTAGAACAATTAGCAAAATAGACTTCATAAATGGGAAGAGAGCGTTTTCATTCCACACTAGGAGTACACTGTGTTTTGTACATCTTAATGTGATAAATACTTACTGAATAAGTGAATTCACTTTATAGGACATGGAATTCTGGGATGGGGATGTATGCCAAAGAAATCACTATGTGGCCCTCTATTTTAAAGCAAATTATCCCAGACTGATGAAACTCTATCTAGTTTTAAAAGACCACAAAGTTGCACAATGAATCATTCCAACATTTTGAAGTCCTCACCATTAGGATACTTTCTTTACATCCTATCCTGGATGGTGGGGAAACTGACGACACAATTCTACTCAGATACAAAAAAACCTAAGTTTTTCAGGGTGAGGAAAAGAAAAAGCAGAAGAAAAACAGAGAAAGAGGGAGAGAAGTTCCAGACAGATGACCAGCTGCTGATGCTGTAGTACATTTTTTTGTATCAGATGTTTATCTTCCACTCTGAGTGTCTTTTTTCCCCCCAAAGATATGGAAACATGGCTCAACAATAGAGAGGTTAGTGGAAGGTTTTTGTTTTATAATGCACTAAAATTATTTCCTTATGGTTAAAGAAAGGCTATTCTTTTGCTTAAAAAGAGGAGCATGTGTAACTGTGCAGAGAATACTTAGGTTTTGTAAGTTCCCTTTAGAAAAGTTATAACTTATTCTGAATGAATACAGTAGCTTTATATAAAAGATTATCAACCAGAATATATAGTCCTGGAAATTTTAGACCTATTGACATCAACTTTCTGGATTAAGGCCAAATGAAAACATCTTCCTTAGGGGTTAAGAAGGAATGGTCTGAGCTATTTATTTTAGCTATGAAAATGTATGCATTGGTTTTTTTGTTGTTGTTAAGGCAGGCATATTCTAATACTCTGTCATTCTCTCAGCATGAGGACTCTGAATAGAACTTAAGATGGCATCTATTTCCATTTACTATTAGATGGCCTTTTATTTCTTCTGGGAAATGAACAGCTCAGATCAACTAAAATGGAAAAGCCACACTCTGTGTTTTCCTTAGGTCACAGCTTAATAACCTCAGGAGCAACTTACTCTTTCTCCTTTGGGACCTGCAGGGCCATGGGGTCCCATAGGGCCATCTGTACCCTAAAAAAAGATAAAAATAATATAATATGAGACATATCCCAAGGGCTGTAAGAAAAGCAGTTATAATTTATCCTGGACTTTTCCTGGGTGAAGGATGCCTTAGCATGTCAGTAAGACAACACGTCTCCTTTCAAACTGCTTTATGCTTGATTCTTTCAGGCCACGAGTTTTCAAGAAGCTCATGCAAAAGGGATGAATTATATAACTGCCTATTGCAATGAAAGGCTCACACAAAATACTGTATATCCTATTTAATTATATATTTCCTCCCTGACTAAATGGAAAATCTTCGCTTTGCCCCCAAAATCTTAAGAAAAAATAATTGTTTTTGCTTCACATCACCTCTTCACATCCATTCTCTGCCCCTACAGTTACCCCTACTCCTCTTGGCCACAAATGCTCTGAAGTCTTGTCTTCAGCTGTTTAAGAGGCTCGAATAGTTATACAAGTAAAAAAAAAAAAAAACTTAAATGAGAACAGTGTTTAACTTTTCAAGCTTTCTTCCGGTCTGTTGGAAGCAGCAGGGGGCTTAGAAGGAAGGAATTATTCTTATAGGTTCTGCTGCAGTGGCTCAAGTCACTAGGCTTATAAGGCACAAACCAGGCAGCTGGATGATTTAATGGCATAACTGCCCTCTGGCCTCCTGGTTCAGGATTAGGATTTTTGTGGCAGATGAGATAATATTTGGATGAATATAGGAACACTGAGGTCCACTGAAAATAATGACTGCCTGAAACAGGTTTTTAGAATTGAAGAGCTCGGAATTCTTTTTGATTCTTAAAAATGTAGCAAGGACTTCAGGTATATTTGCTCATTTTCAGGAAGACTATGCTTAGATTTGCAATGAATTTATTATGATATTTGCAAACAGAAACTATTCTAGCACAATATTTTTAGTATTCCTATTTCTGTTTTACTATTCTTATTTATTCTATGAGCCTTGTGATATGAAATAATTCAGGGTTTTAAACTCATTCTAATGTTGGTGAATTATCAACATCAGTTTGATCTTTTTCTTACTGCCTGAACTCAAAGTTCATCTTCAGAAGACTTCTAAATATTGAGGACCTGTAGCTGAAATTTAAGAGATGGAGCTGTTAAGAACCATAGAAAAGAGACAAAATGACAGAAGACAGACAAGTCATTTCAATGAACGGAGATTTGAAAGTTAGTTCCAAAGAAGTTACATTTCTAATATGGACATAAACATAAAAGGAAAAGCAAGTTGAAATAAATTCACACGATTTTGATTCCTTCAGAGGGCCCCTCCCATGGAACTGCAGGAAGTGTTCATTGGTTATGGAAAAATCTGTCTGGGATTCTACGACAACGAAGCCAACTAGACTGGTCATTCTTCCCACGTCACAAGTTATCCAGACTTGAACCCCGGCTTCAGAAAGATGTTCTGCAGTTTAGGCTGCATGACAAACAAGGCTGCAACCCAGGCTTTGTCTACCTTTCCCTTTTCTGCCACTATCTTTGTCCACTTTCTTCTGCTCCAGTCCTACGTATCCCTCATCATTTGATGGGAGTCTGTCCTGAAGCATAAAAGTCCTAGCCACAAAACATGTTGGAGCAAGTTGAGGTGCTGACTCACCCGGGATCCTGGCTTTCCGTCTAAGCCAGATGCTCCCTGTGTGATTTGGTTGGTAGCAGGGTTGGTGGGTGTAACACGAATGACAAGAACAGAGATTAGTATGAGGTACTGATGAACAAATGTAACACTTCAAACAACATAATACGCAGTCACAGGGTTCTGGGATGAATATCACATTGCTACAAATTGTTAGTTAAAAAAAAAAAAACCATGTGACAATAAACACCCCACAGATGATGGCATTTTTATGACATTTCCATTTGATAAATTCTTACTTAGAAATCAAGTGAATGAGGTTTATAAAGTGGGCTTTAAAATAGTCACCAGTAACAGTCTGGGTTGCTAATTTCCATATGAAATTAATTTTCTAAAGACTGTGCCATTCACAATATACTTCTTTCAGTTCTGAAAAAAAAAATAATGGCCAATCTTCTAGGAAAGGGCTCATTATAATAATATCAATCAAGTTAGAATTTCAGAGGAGAAGAAAACAGCTCTAGTTTTACTTGTTAAAATAGCGTTTATGAATAACAAATGCAGAATTTTAACATGTCAGGGTGACTCTGGATTTTACACAGACAATACTCATTGTTTTCTGGATTGTTCTTACTGTGTTCACATTAGTCACCACTAGAGGGACTTCTAGGAACAGGAAAAAGCCAGGAAAACTTCATGAGTCCAAAAAGAAATGACTGTCCCAAACAACATTGCTCCTCAGCTCACTTCAAGTAATCAAGCATCAAAGTCTGAATGGGAAATGCTTTAAAAATTGAATGTTGTTCTCAGGCAATGCATGCTTTTCTTTCCCTTCAACTCTAGGCTATGCATAACGTATGACCAAAAGATGACATTTTCAATGCTTGTTTCAATTATAAGCGCAATTACTTTTTTGGTATGGCTTTTGTATCTCAAAACTCAAATGTTTATTTATAGTCCTTTAAAAATGTTGATTTGATCAAGGAGTATTTAAGAAAGACAATGCACTAGTTCTTTACATCTCTTGGCAAGGTTGCAGGACTATTTCCCCATTTTATGCTTCAGATGTAGTTAATAATACAAAATGGAAGAAAAAAAATTTATTCCAGCTGCAAACTCTACAAATGATGCTATACCATACATTTTGGGGGGGTACTTTTCATTTTTTATTTTACAATTCCTTCTGTACAATCCCATCGTGAGTCAGATTATAACTGAAAATTCAATTTACTTAGCAATGATTAAAATTTAAAAAAAAATACGTGTGTTATCATTTGCTTAATGCTAGCATATGTAGAGCTTTTGGCTAAATGTTACATAAAAATGACCACTAGTCCTAGATTTGAAATTAGGGCAAACTTTAAAGAAATCAGATTGAGGGTTTAAATAAAATAGAAATCCAAACTTTCTTTTGCTTTTTGATACTTTCTTCAGAGTCACCATTATTAAAATTTAAAAATAAATAGGGGGATGATAAAATTTTTGCACTGATTATATAATATTATATTTACCTGGAATGTGAATTAATGACTCACACATATTATACAGGTTTTAGGTTTTATACCTGTGGCATGATCTAATTGGTGTGATTTAACCTATACTCTAATATAAGGCTTACATCATTCAATAAATGAATACATATTAAGCATCTACTAAGTGCCTGATCTATGTAAGGCATCGGCTATCAAGAGGAATACTTTAGTACTTAGAATACAGTACTTGTGGGAAAAACAAAATAAGTAGTCACCAATTTTTTTATGGAGACGTGTATAAACTATTTTCTATTACCAATTTTATGTCATATTTTAATAATGTAATCTATAATGTTCTTTACTAACTTTTATCTGCATTCACTGAATAGACAGCATATGAAAAGCTTGAAACTAAAACTCATATTTTGGAATTCCCTGGTGGTCCAGTGGTTAGGACTCTGTGCTTCCACTGCAGGGGACACAGGTTCGATCCCTGGTCGGGGAGCTAAGATCCTGCATGCTGCACGGTGCAGCCAAAAAAAAAAAACAAAAAAAAACACTCCTCATATTTAATAATCATTTAAAAATATCTTTTTAGCTGCTGTGGTAAGAAGACTAGCATAAAGTACATGAAAGTTGGAAATCTTTTCATTAAAAATAAAAATCTCTACATAACTGCAAAATATTTCTTCCATACTATCCATTATTGCCGCAAGAACCTCGTAAGAGGGCATTTCCAGCACAAACAACATCTAACATTTAGACCACAATATGATTGATTAATGTAAGGAACCACGGCACTGACCTCACGCCTTCAACAATGGCCAGTTGCATACCTTCCACTAACAGGGGGCTATGGTTTTTGGTATTGAAGAAGAAAAAATAAAAATTGAGGGAGGATTTGACACTACACTAAATAATAAAAACATTTGGGAACAATTATGAAATAATCCGCATAATAATTTTTTAAAGGGGCGGGTGATGGGAGAATTGTCAGCCTTAAATAATGGAAGGTTGGCATGTACGTAATTGAATGACAGAACATTTACGGCATTGTTTGTTACAGGGTCTTCCTCTGACACAAGAGCACACATCAGAGAAAGCAAAACTGGGCCGAGCTCTGTGCGAACACAGTATGTTTTCCAGTTACAGAAATCTCAACCATAAGACGGTCACTGAGTAAACCAGAGTTCTTACTTAGGGTAGAAAGAAAAGTCTGAGATTTGCACTGAAATGGAAAGTTTTCTTTACTTACTGGAAGACCAAGGGGTCCTCTGTCACCCTTTTGACCTGGTTCACCCTTCAATCCTTTAACACCATTTAACCCTGGTTCACCCTAAATGCAAAAGCAAATGCCGATTTTGGTTGCTATCATGGGTGTTTCAACTTCGAGAGAAGAGAGCCAATCTCTGAAATGGTTGCAGATTCCAGTTTTAAGTAACAGCAGAGTCAGGCTAGATTTGTCTTGTATCAGTTCAAAAATAATCTAAAAAATTTTAAAAATTAGGGCTTCCCTGGTGGCGCAGTGGTTGAGAGTCCGCCTGCCGATGCAGGGGACACGGGTTCGTGCCCCGGTCTGGGAGGATCCCACATGCCGCGGAGCGGCTGGGCCCGTGAGCCGTGGCCGCTGAGCCTGCGCGTCCGGAGCCTGTGCTCCGCAACGGGAGAGGCCACAACATTGAGAGGCCCGCGTACCGCAAAAAAAAAAAAAAAAAAAAAAAAAAAATTTTAAGAATTAACAAACTGAAATTGACAATTAAATAATATTCTAGGAAGCAGAACTCCTGAGAAAGTGTGCTCCTTACAAGCAAAATGTATATGTCTGAGCTTCGAATTTTTCAGTTTTACCTCAAGGAAATTGGTGTTATGCTACATTGTTCTGACCAAGTAAATCAAAGACAATCGGAGTGGAGGATACTGAAGGAGGCTGAGCAGGAAAGACTCACTCTGCTGGAATGGAAAACTGGAATATGCAGGACAGTGTTATATATATGAATATTTTAAGCCTTTAAGCATTTTGCCCAGGGGAATGAGCTAAAAATGTAGCAAATGACTTTTGAAGTAATGCCATTTGGTGAATCCTCATTCACTGACATTGCAAGTCAGGTCCCTACATGGATTAATCAATAGAATAGACAACAAAGAGCCAATCCTAGGAGAGAATGTGAAGATCACAGAACTTATATGTGGCTTTACTAACTGTCTATCTGTCCAATCTCAGAATAAAGTAGGTTTGAATTTAACTTAAGGTGACAATACAAAAGCCATGATAAGTGATAAATTCTCTTGACTCTGTTTTTAAAAACCTAAGAATGTAATACACTATTTTCTATTGGCAGCAGCATGTTAGAAATAGAATTCTGACCTGTTCCATTTTCAGCTTTTAAGTACAGATATTAATTTCATCAAGAAAATCTTGAAAGACTTGTGGAAGGAAGATGATTTCAGTTTTAAATGCCCTATAGAGTCCTGAGTGGTGGAGGTGGGAGAGGGGAGAGGTTATGCTTACATGGCAGGAGGGATTATTAATCTGGGCAGTATTTCCCCCGTTTGCTTGATGGTGCCAATCAGTGCAGTACTTGTTAAAGAGTCCAGGGCACCACCTGGACCATAGCAGCACAGGAATCGTATTTTTAATGTCTCCCAGGTGATTCTTCTCATCAGGAAATTCTAGGAAACAGTGAGCTAGAGTCATCCATGGAACCATGCTATATATTTGAACTTTCAAAGGGGTCACAAAATAATAAACACATTGGCATGACCTAATGGAGTTTGGCAGCTCTGAGGAGAGGGAGTTTGCAATGCTGCCACTGAAGGAAAGCCAAATATTCTATGGTTGGTAAAGTGTGATCCTGGGAATGTCCCAGAGCTGGAGTCAATGTGAGATTAAAGCCAAGGCTCAGTAGTCAACTGCAGTTAACTGGTCTAAACTTGAGATTCAGGGCTTTGCATGTGTGTGGACTTTCATTCAGCAAGTGATCTTAAGATGATGAACAGGCAGGGCAGCCTTGGTAGGCTATGAAGTTCTTTGGTGAGGAATCATGCATTGATAGGAATAGGCGTAAACTGAGAAGGTAAGTTTAAACAATCAAATTCTGGGGCAAAAATTTCAAATTTCAACTCTGAACCTAAATTCTAGTCCCAGATCTGTCATTTAATTGGCAGTGTAATTTAGAGCAAATAACCTAAATCTCCTGAGCCTATAGTTTATTATCTATAAAATCAAGGAACTAGCACAGGTAAGCTATGAGATGTTTTCAACTTTATAATTCTCTGAAATCTATGATTTAAATAACAATTGAAGTTAAGTGTAGGCAAAGTGAATCATATCAGAAGGATCTTGGGCATCTATTAATGTAATGGTGATGGGGTAACTGAATCACTCATAGAATTAGAAACTCAATCTTGGTGGCTTTGGCCTGAGTCATTACAATTAATCTGGTCTTTAGTGGCACCTTAGAATCCAAACAAAAGTCAACAGAGGAAATATTATTTAGTCCAGTGTGGGGAAAGAGGCCCAAGAAGGCTAGATAAGTACCTAGACCACAGAGCTGACAGATAAGCTCTCTTTTGACCCCAACAAAAATGTTCTTACCCTAAACTATAATCCATGCCACTGAGACACTGTCAATCACTGGCTTTATCAGAAGGTAAGGCATTCTAAGAAGAATAAAGAGGCACGAACTCTTTCCTTTCTTGGGTGAGTCACCTGCTTCATCTCGAAAAGGAAACTCAGGTTTCTGGAGTCAGACCAATCCCTCTGCCACCCCTAAAGCTGGGGGGTCAGCGGGAGTGCTCAGAGGAGAGGGTGGGCTGCCTCTAGGCTTTCTGGTTCTTAGCGCCTGCACTGCATTTATGTGTCCCCTCACCCCCTCTCCATTTCAATGCATCAACTCACTACTGAGGAGGTTGCAAGAGTCATTGAACCTTTTCTCAAGCAGCCTTGAGGACTAGATAAATTTTTCTGTTCAGAACAAAGCATCAGAACACAAGATTACAATAACAACTGATGTTTATTGGGTGTTTATTAACAGCTGCACTGGATATTCTGTGAAGTGTTTTATAATCATACCTCATTAAATCATCACAACACTCTGAGGTAAGTTACCTAGTTGAGTAAATGAAGGATTAGAGAGGGTAAATAATCTCCCCAAGGTGACACAGCCTGTCAGTGGCAAAGCTGAGATCAGAACATACGTCCTCATCACATATGCTCACTGAAAGAAGCAGCATGTCTTTCAGGGCTCATTTTAATCCTCCAAGGTGTCTTCTCGGTCTACACAAAGGCAAAGAATGCACCTTCATCCATCTTCACAATACAAACTGCAATAATTCTCACAAGGAAGGGATATTCTCCATTGGTCTCTTGTTAATTCAGAGTATAGAATATGTGTATGTGATGTAACCTTCTCTTCAGTATAGCATACTTGATATGCCTCACCTCATTCTAGACTAGTGACCTCTGGGGTAGTACAAAATTAAGATGCTGGATAATTAAAGCATTTAGATGCAGTACTGCTATATGACAAGCAAGAAGTCTCAACTAATAACATCTGAAAATACAACTAAAGACACCATACTAAGAAAGAGCACCTGGACTAGTCTGAGAATGTCATCAGATTCACTTTTTCTTTTTCCTTTTAGAATGTTGATTTTGAGTATATTATGATTAGTAACTTAAGAAACTTACATAGTGACAAGGAAAAAGGCAAAATGAGGACTAATTCATCTCTAGGTGGTATCACTTAAATTTGTTGTAAGTCATTCGTTGTTGTGAAATTTAAACATCTGGATACTTAAAGGCTTAAAGATTATCAACATTACTTGACAAATAAATAAGACAGGACAGACATGCTTCTGTCATGCTTCCCCACGATTAACAATGAAACAGCCATCAAATAATCAAGGGATTTGTTGGATTACCTTTGGTCCAGGAAGTCCATGGGGTCCCTGAAAATGGAAAACACAGCTTTTAATTAAGAACTGATTCACTTTTTCCCAGCAGAAGTGACTATTAACTATTATATAAAGTAACAAAAGAGACGTATAACAAGAATCTTTTTGTTTGAGGCAGGCCAGTGGATGTTAATACCTAGTGAAAGTTCCTTCTAGCTCTTGGATTCCTCTGTAATAGGAAGTTCATTAACAGCAATTCTTTCTGCTAAATACCTGTGAGAGGGAGGGGGGAATCTGCCAGGGTTATATATGGAAGGAAAAAAAACAAACAAAAAAGTGTTTGTGAACCCACACTACCTCTATTTCTCAAATCTCTATTTAAAAAAATCTAGGTGGAATATGTGAGATACCTTATGAGTTTAAAATTTGCTAAAAAATTTTTGAACTTTAAGTACCAGTGAGAAGGAGACCTTTTCAATTACTAACTGCTCTAGACCCAAGGTTTTAAGAAATCCTAAAGGAGCAAGAAAATGAGGAGATGACAGTCAAGTTTGGAACCCTGTTGCATTATTTCTTCAAGGCTAAGAAAAGGATTCTAGTACAGGAGTGATAAACATTATTATTTAGAATGCATTCATTTTTACAAAGACGAATTATTCAAGGCTCTTGTAACAATTATTTACCAGTGGAAGGAAGTCACAACACATTCATGAATCAGGGCTTGTCCCCTGTATTTCGTGGAAAATCTAAGTATAGAGACTAATTAGTCAACCTAAATTAACTAAAGATTACTGTGGATTGCTTTAAACTTTCAAGTCATTTAAATGAACTATTTGGAGACAGGAGTATTTAAATACTCATCAGCAAAATCATACAACAGTAGGAAAAAGTTTTTGTTTTTTTTTTTAAGCAAGCAATACATAGATATTTGTTACATATGCCTACATTGGAATAATATTTTCCCTTTGGATATGTTATGGATAAACATTTTCAGGAAATGGCCATTTTATCAAGTATTCTCATTTCATTTTAGAAATGGTTTTAAATTCCTTTAAACTAACTTTATGATATGAATGGATATAGCATTTTAAAATTTAATTTTCTAACTTAAAGTGGCGGGAGTATAAAAACGCCAAAAGTATGCCACTTGCTTGATTCTTAAAGCACTGTTTAGTTTTAAGAAAATCAGATTAATTATAATTGTTTTGTGGTATGAAATAGAAACGGCACTTAGTAAGAAATAGATGATTGGGTCTGGGGCTACGCTCTGTGGTTTAGATCATTCCAATGATGTTCTTTCTTGGAGCACAACAGGAGGAAAGAGTGACTGACAGTTTACTTAATCTCTGTGATTGAAGACATATGGTTTATCGGGACACTGTCGAGACAAATGTGACCTTAGAGACTGCCTGACTTGTTCCCAACCTATCTTAGTCAAAAGGCTTTGAAGCATTCTGCCTTCTGGTTCTAGCCCTAACAAAACTGTCATTAGGTAGACATTTGGAGAATTATGCTGGTTTAATGGCTACCTTCCTCACTGAACATAAGCTCTATGAGGACACAGTCATTGTCTCCACTGGTCACTGAGGGATACTTGCAGTAAACACTGTATTTACAGAAGTATTTAAAAGTGAAAAGAAAAAGATCTAACACTATATATCATCTGTGGAAGTGAGACAATTTTTATCGTATTATTTTCTAAATGTTCTTATTGAACATTTCATTAAAGGGTCTCAATCCTCAAAGTTGGTTAGAAACATTCATTTATGGCTACAATTATTAATCTTGTTATGCTATTAATGGCCTACAACAGTGGTTCGTTAAAATGATTTTCCAATGTTCATACCCTAAGAGTGGAGTAAAGCTTGCCAAATCTGTTTATTCAACTTTCCTATCACAAAACTACCCTAGCTCTTTCCAACAGATGTGCCTGGGAGAGTGAAAGACAACACTTTTACAATCAGAAAAGCACCCCCTATTTTTTGTCCATTCCACAGAGAGTAGTACAACATACAAACTGGCTGTTTTGAGGGATGTGTTCATGTTTCCTCTGGTAGCATGCTCTTAAACAAATGATTATATTTTGGAGAGAAGGGAAACTTACCATGGGGCCTGGTGGGCCATGGGGACCTGGTGGGCCTGGTGGGCCTATGATCTGCATGTCCGAAAAATAAACATGAATTTGGTTACTTCATTTAGATAAGGCAGTTAGGCTTGAATCTCATGCTGGGCTTCTGCTAAGGCCATTAATGGTTGCAGAGGAAGGATACTGGAAGAAGTGATGCATTTGATTCTCTACATTTGGAAATTCCTTTGTGAGAATAAAAAAACTTAAAAAAAATACAGTTGTTCTACAAAAGCCAGAATAAATCAAAAGTACATTAAAAGAAAAGTAAGCAACTGATTACCAAGAAATGCTATAATGCTACAACTACTATTAAACTCTCAAATATTTCACTAAGCAACAACAGGGCTCTGGAGAAAAAAAGAACATAGGTTCTACATTCACAGAGCTCTATCCAAAAGCATTGTGGGAAAACCACTGATTTTCTCCTCGGGATTAGATAGTCCTCTGAAAAATCACTTCTAACTCAGACCTCTGAGACACTTTTGTCTCTTGCTGTACAAGGCTGACAGATATTTCTTCTACAGTTTGACAGACCAAGAGGTTCATGGCCTTTCTACTGTTGATAAGTCATCTGGCACAGCTTGAAGTCGGTGAATAATTGGCCCATTTCAGAGTTTTTCGGGAACCATGGAAGTTCAGCCCCCATGGACTTACGGAAGGACCCTGAGGACCTGGCAATCCAGAGTCTCCTTTTTCTCCTTTCATTCCATTGGCACCCTACAAATAACCATTAAGAGTTGAGCTGGTCAAGTAAGGAACAGCTGAATTTTCTCCCCAAATCCATCATCCTCTTGAAATTTTTATAATATCATGCATATGATAATGTAAGAGAAGGATTTATCCCCTTGCATTTTAGCCTCAAGCTAAAGAGCAAGCTTCCTCAAATCCCTAGGATTGTGCATGATATGTGAAATAAATTATAAAGTAAATGAAACTAAGCTATGCTTGATTGGTTAAACTTATACATTGCTAAATATATCCAATTATAACTGTTATATTTTTAATGGTGGTGCTGACTTTAAATAGCAGTCCTTTAACTTCGTTTTCACTGACACTTATTTACACATTTCCTTGTTTTAAAAAATGATCTAGGGCAGTGAGGTTTTCTACTTTTC